AAGGTTCTTTTTCAGGAGGCAACTAGACTTTCTTGTTTTTTTTCTTTCTTCTCTGAAGACGTTTCTCTTATCATCCAAGAAGCTTCTTCAGTTCTGACTAGATGGTGGGGAATGGAAGGTTTATACTCCTTTCGGTATATGACAAGAAATGTATTAATATATTTAATATATTTTAATATAAATACATTAATATCAGGTTTGAATGTGTATTTACTGTAGGTTGTATGAAACTAACGCTAATAAACACATAATTATCTTTGCAACATTTGATTAATTATTCTCCTGCACTATTACATTTGCCTAGTTCAAATCTTCCTGTGATCATGGATTCCTCTGCTTCGTTAAATGCACCCTCAGCATCATATTAAACCATGGGGAATATTGATAATGAATGTCTATTTCTGGTCAATTCTTTTTTCTTTAATTTTAGCACAACACAATACATTCTTAGGTTAACAGTTAGTAATTTATGGTCAAAGTTCTCCATTATCCATAGTCTATCACGATTCTGTCATCCAGATCATGGTTGTCCCCAAAGTGCTTTTTCAGGAGGCAACTGGACTTTCTTCTTTTTTTTTCTTTGAGGAAAAGATAAAGATAAACCTCCAAGTGCTTCAATGACCCTCCAAAAGGATGCAAATGACCAGTAGTCTGTGGGGAATATAAAAACTTCCACCCACCTCCATCCAGCCAGAGCCGAAGAAGCTTCTTGGATGAGAAACGAAAGAGAAAACACCAAAGTCCAGTTGCCCCCTGAAAAAGCACCTTTGGGACATCTATTATCCATAGCATCGATCATGTAAAACAGCTCTAATCACAAAACAACTTCAAAGTATATTTTCTAATACAAGCAAACAACAAGACAAAACCCAACATGCTTATAATATAACAATAATGTTATGTCTGGGCGATGGGTCACAAGAAGAGACGAGACTCGAAATAGTGACAACAGCTCTTTATTAGGAAACCAGATACTGAGACAAGACTCCCAGCCGAGGCAGCTCCTTTTATAGAGCTGGCTGCGGCTAGGCAGCCTATGACATGCATTTGAGTTTGCCGCACTTGGTTTTACCCAATCGCGGCAGCCGAATAAGAACCAATCAGAACGCTTTGTTCTGTCCAATCACGGCCCGGCTTTTCCGGACCAATAGGAATGCAGGCCTACAAGCCTGCTAGTATGGAACAAATAAGAAATAAGCTACTGCAGGTAGTCCTTAACTGAGCCCAAAATTGATCTCGTTATGTGAGAAATTTGTTAAGCGAGTTTTGCCCCATTTTCTGACTTTTCTTGCCACTTTTGTTAAGGGAATCCCTGTAATTGTTAAATTAGTCACATGGTTGTCAAATCAATCTGATTTCCCACTTGGCTTTGCTTGTCAGAAGGTTGCAAAAGGGGATCACACTGCAACTGCCATAAGTATGAGTCAGTTGCCAAACATCCGAATTTGGATTACGTGACCATGGAGGATACTGCAACAGTGGTAAGTGTGAAAAACGACCATAAGTCACTTTTTTCAGTGGCATTTTAACTTCAAACGGTTACTAAACGAACTGTTGTAAATCAAGGATTACCCCAGAACCATTTAGGTCCTGGGGCACTAAATGTGTTAAGGGCCCTGTTTCCTAGTTATATCTCTAACGGGCCAAATATTTTGTTCTTGTGAATATTGAATTTGGAGATTTTTGTTGTTTTAATATATTTTTAATTTTTAAAAAAATCATAATATGTTTTCTGAATTATAAGCCACCCACAATCACTGACTGAGATAAAAGACCACGGGAATTGAACAGACAAACAAGCAAGCAAGCAAACAAAATGGTTGCCGTCTTAGGAGGCCCTGGCATTTTCATTGAAAAAAAAAAGGACCTTCTTTTGATGTTCTGCTCTCCGTGCCATCTACTGAATATGTAGCAAACTTCATAATACCAGATTAAATATACAGCGTATGTAGGAATCTATGATAATTAGTTTATATAATTACAAATGTCCAACTTGCACAGTATGCTGTTTTTATAATGCATTTTGATTTAGTCAAATTGCTGCAGATTAGAAATGCAAACGTTGTATAAACAGGCATGGGCGTTGAAGTAGATCATTATAAATACTGGCCCTTCACTGTTGAAGGCATCTCACTCACTGGCAGCTTCAGATTGCGGTATCACAACTGAAGTGAGGAAGCTGTGGGCTACCTTTGCTTTGGCATCAAGACTGAATACAGTAAAGAGGTAAGACGAGAGAAAGAGATCCCTGCTGGAACAGCAAGGTATACTTGGTGTATCCTGACTCACGAAGTCATGGTTTTTTTCTCCTCTTTTCTTTTATGGTTAACTAACTGTTGTTTGCCAGAATAACAGTAATGGAGAGAGTCCTTGGATTGTTTCGTTGATGGTCAGGTAATAATTGAGGATATTTTAAGTCACTCATGGAGAAATGTTAAGCATTGTTAGCCATCCAGGGTTGCTCTGGTGAGATGGGCAAACATATCTATCTAATAAATAAATAAGCAAGCAAGTCTTAAGATGTGAGGAGAAAGTATTTCTGAATACCAGCATTTAGTAAGAAGAGGCTTTTTGGAATAAAAAATGATTTGTTTCCCAGGAAAATAATCGGCTGATAGATTTATGTAACTGCTGTCCAGGACTTATGTAGAATTTCATTTCCTCCAGGAAATGAAACATTTATTCACAAATGGTGATATTTTGAAGATTTTGCAGCATCCAATGCTATACAGGTGCACGTTTGACCTTCTCTATGCTTATTTAAATCAATCAGTTCTACTACAAGCCAAATGTTATCTGGTCTGTGTCAATTTTTAGAGGCATTAAAGATTTAAGACAGTAAGACTAAGAGGGGGAAAACCTGAGTTTTTCATCCCTAATTCAGCATGAAGCCATTTGGGTAACTTTGGGCTGGACATTTTTGCAGTCCAAGGAAGAAGATACTGCCAAGCCATTTTTAAAAATGTTGCAAAGAAAACTGTATAGATCTGTCTATCTAGTCACTCCAAAAGTCAGGGTTGGCACTTTACTCTGACAGTGCTCTGATCCTGCTCATTTCCTAGTGTCTATGGAGATTTGGACAGGCAAACTGGAATCAAAAGGCATGTGTAATCAAAACGCTATCTCTCACGTGTGAATAAATGTACAATGCATCTGATGCAAAATCCCAGGAGAAAGAAAAATATAATTCTTAAAATGAACTGACTGATTTGGCATGCTGGAAAAAAGGAGAGTTGAAGTCAAACTCCATGGTTAATCAGACAAAACTCAAGTTAGACAAACTGTAAATGTCTTAGTGGGACAAAGATGTCCCACTAAGCAGAGAAGAAGACCACAGCAAGAAAACTTCCTCCACAAGAAATCTGTTCAAGAAGAATCAGAGAATAATCTCTGTCCATTGTGAGCAAGGTGTAATCTCTATTGTTTTTTTAAAAGTTTTTATTTTTTACAACAATCATACAAACAAAACATAAAAACATAAAACCCTCTTTCAATTATATACATACAGTGTGTCAGTTGGTTACAGTCTTTTGTGCTATCCTTTTTTTTAACCATTACTCACATGTTATATGAGTTCTCACCTTATCAATCTAGCTTGTGCTTATGTAATATCAATTATTAAACTTTCATTTGACTAAACTATTTTTCCATCATTTTATACGAGATATTCTAAATTTCATTATGGTTTAATCTTATACACTCATCCAATGGTTATATATTTTATATTGTATTCTATATCGATCTATTAACTTTTATTGTAAGGCTTACTAATCTGTTTCTTTACCATGTCTTTTTATCTAACCACTGATAAAATAAATCCCATATCATATAAAAAATTTTATCTTCTTGTTCTCTAATTTCAAATGTCAATTTACTCATTTCGGCACAGTCCATGATTTTCTCAATAATTTCCTCCTGCATAGGTATTTTTTCATTTTTCCAATTCTTAGCAAATACAATCCTAGCCACTGTTAATACCTTTACAATCAAATATTTCAACTTTGTTATATATTTCCGGTATTATCCCCAATAAAAAGATCTCTGGATTAAAGTCTATGTTTCAAATATAATATCTTCTAAAATACCCCTGCGTTTTAGTTCCCTTATACCAGAGGAAGGCATGCCACCCTAACAGCCATGTAACCTCTATTGTTAAGTGGACTGAGTTGTGTTCTATTAGGCAAGCATTCCTTTTTATAGCAGTTCATCATGTTAAATGTTCAAAATGAGGAACATAAATGCTATAAATAATTGGGATGTCTTAGGGCACTGAACCATAGCTTATTGTACAAGCTGCATTTGGCCAACTTAGAAACCCAGGAAGCCATACTGCGGTTTGTGCGAACCCAAATCCAATTGCATAGCTTCCATCTAAACAAGCTGCAACATGTTATGTCGGGTTCTTTAGTTGATCATCCTGCTTCCAAAGACCCCTGTCCAGGACATATACTCAACTTCCCTACCTATCTATGCCTTCTGATTAGACTTCATGAAGGCAGTGTTTCTTTCTATTTCAGCTTTGCTACTCCACCGGATATATATCCTGAATCTTGTCGAAGGGAAAATCTAAATTAGCATCATTCCCATAGTATAGTAAACCCCATGGGGCTGGTGTTGTAGAGGAAGCAGCCAATGGAGGCAAAGTGAGTAAGATCAGGAAGAGAGAAACCTTACGCTTCTGCTAGAGACAATGAGGTTTCTGCTTAACCTTATATTAATTGGCTTCGTGTCCTTTTGGAAGGAAGAGACACAACTGAACAAGGCTTCTCACATTTTATGTAATGCTTCTTCCCTTTCTCTTTAATTTAAGAGTTCTTAGTGTTGAAGGTATACATCCAATGATGCAGATTCCGCAGCACCACATGGTTCATGACCATACTAGTAGTAGTAGTAGTAGTAGTAGTAGTAGTAGTAGTAGTAGTAATAATAATAATAATAATAATAATAATAATAATAATAATACTCATTTCTTGACTGTTCCAGGTACTATTCGCTCCACCATGCAAAACTTTGTTGACTCCAGTGGCAAATTTGCTGTAGACCTTTTTAAACAGCAAATAAACAAGAGTTATGGGAAAAATTTAATTTCATTCTCAGTTGGTGGACAATTGTCATTAGCCTTGCTCTTGCTTGGCAGCAAAAAAGAGACCGCTGATGAAATAACAAAGGTAGGTGTCCTCAAATACTTGTGTTCCTTAAAAATAGTTATTTTAAGTCTTATTAAATTATTAATTATAGGTCACACATATAATCTCATCTATGTTATTGCTAGAAAAGGTTTCTTCTTGGTATCTTGTCACATGAATATCTGCATGGAATTATGGGGAAATCTCTCCTTATTAGCAGCCTTTTTTCCCAACTGGGCTTTCCAAAATTCCTTGGAAAGGAACCTTTATGGATCTTCAGTGAGGAAGTGATATAACAGATGTAAAGAAAATTATGCACTTTTGCAATAACCATGTCACCATGTACAAAGGAAATATTTACTTATGTGCCTCCTCACTTAATCTTCATTCTTACTAACAGCCAGTGGTGGAATTCAGCAGGTTCACACCGGGTTACACCAGTTCACACGAACCGGTTGTTAACTTTTTCTGAAGTTCAGCAAACCAACTGATCTCACCACTGGCTGGTTCTACCCCTCCCCCCTCCCCTCCCTGACATTCCTCACCTGGCCTGAGAAAGTAAGGCTGACACAGCTGGAGAGTGCCCTATTGGGGACAGACAGCTAGTCCTGGCTGGGTTCCTAACTGCAGCTAGGCTGATATGCCCGCTTCTGTCGCTAACTTGTCTCCCTGGCCTGCGGATTTCTGCGCAAGGCTTCCCCACCATGCCCTTCTCTGTCTTCTTCCCCTTGGCTAATGCCCAGCAAGGCAGGAGTTGCTCTGCCATGAATGGGTGGAAACGGGCAGTGAGGGGTGTGGCTGAGCGATGCTCCTGCACCAAAAAACCTTCCCTTACCCTTCTCCTGTGTAAAGTTCAGGGCCTTTTTCCTCCATCATAGGCCAAGGGGTCACTCTGGGAGCAGGTCACTGTTGGCCTTACCTTTGTGGGCAGCCACAGTGAGCAGATTGGTATGAGTCCTATGGGTTGGAAAGTAAGGTTGACAGCAGAGGAGGGAGACCTACTCTGGGCCCACCATGCTTGGCCGAAGGGTTGCTGTGGGAACATGGTGAGGCTCAGCTGCCTTTCTTGGCTTCCATGAGGCCTGACAGAAAGCACCTGGTCCGGGCCAACAGCCCTCCCTGAGGAACAAAGCATTGGATGACCCGATCCATCCCAAAGGTCTCGAGGAGTTCTAGAGTTTCCACATGCCTCTGCTGGCCTGAGCACCATGCCCTCCAGATCCCAAAAGACCCAGTGCCTGGTGGCGGCTCCTGGCCAGCAGGCGAGCGGATGTCCTGGGGCTGCACGCATGCACACCACTGCATCGCAGTGCCCCAGACTTGGCCCCAGCACGGTGATCTCCAAGGGCTGCCCGCTTGCCCACCTGCCAATCGGTCTCTGGAACTCTGGTTGAGATGACACAGTGGCTTCTTGTTGTTTTTCCCTTCAGAGGGAATGTTCAGGGAGGGGGCAGGGGTGGGCCAGGTTTGGGCGGACCCATTGCTAACATTATGGCTGGTTTGGCAAACCACCAAATCCCAACCCTGGCTGGCCCCGCTCACTCCACCCCACCCCTCCCACCCCACCCCTCCCAGGAGTCGCCATGCAGCCTGTTTTGGATGCGAGGTAAGTGCAGGGTCCGTGTGGAGGTTCAGGGAGGGGGAAAAAACAGGCCTCCTGGAAGTCCCAGAAATGGCCCCATTTCTGGCCTCCAGAGGGACTCTGGAGACTCTGGGGGGAGGCCGTTTTTGCCCTCCTAGAGGCTCGAGGGAAGCCTCCAGAGCCTGGGGAAGGTGAAAACACCCCCCTGTCATGGTGCAGGAGGCTGACTAGGCCATGCCCACCATGGCCATGCCTCCCCAGCAACCAGGCAGAGAACCCATTGCTGAAATTTTAGAAGCCCACCCCTGGGGGGAGGCAACTTATAACAGCCTGTCTCAACTACCACACATTTTAGTTACCCTAGAGGAGAAAAGCACATCCACCCAGGATTAAACAAGCTCATGGGAAACCTAGGGAAGGAAGAGAAGGAAGAGAGGATGGGTGGGCAAAGGACTCATGCCAGTCCTTGTGGATGACATTTAAAAAAAAGGATGTTTTTGGTGCACAGCGGTGTTGTCATCAGGAGGGTGAATCACCCATGGAAATGACTTCACTGCAACCCTGCAAGATGCTCAGGAGTGAGGACTGGGTGCCCCCAGGCTCCATATAAGGTTCCTTTTAAACGTAAGCCCTTTTCCCTCAGCTGTTGCTTCCATGCTTGTCTTTCCTACAACCCCAGCCACCTCTTGAGCTTGCTCACCCTCAAGTGCCCATTGTTCCCATACAGTTTTGGGGGCTTCTCCCTTCTTCACTGTCTCTGGTGGAGTGCTCCCAACAAAGACTAATTGGGACACAACTTATGTATTTTGTTTTGCAGGCTCTTCGCTTCTTGAAATCGGCAGGAACTGGGACCGCTGCAGATGAGTCTGTAAGAGAGTTATCAGTTGAATTTCATTTGACTAACTCTTCTAAATGAACTGTTTGGTATAAGGCATTCTAAGCGCTTGAAAAAAAGAAAATAATGTTGTTCTTAGTAAAGAAATAATAAATATTGGCAATTGGAATTGTCCATCCTAACCCAAATCTGTTATGATTTTTAAGTGATTGAACCCAACCTGGATTGTCCACAAGATAATGGATAAGAATAATTGCTCACTTCCTAGACTCACATCTTAAAGGAGAATGTCTCAAGGATTGGGACAATGACCCCTAAGAGGATTTCTGCTGTAAAAATAAAACATATACTGTGTTTCCCCCAAAATAAGACCAGGTCTTATTTTCTTTTGAACCCCCCCCCCCAAATAGCTAGGTCTTATTTTGGGGGATGTCTTACTCCCCCCCCCCATGTACCAGTAGGAGGGGGGCAGGGTGACCGGCTCCTCATGTCTCCTTACCTAATAGTGTTACCTGCAGTTTGGTCCATGAAATAGCTGATCTGTGGGTGCATTCCTGCTGCCATCTCCAAGGAGCATGGCAATTGTGGCTGCCAAAGGAGCAGGAGCCCCCAAGTGCCTCTGCAAAACAGCTGATCTGTTGTGTGCTCCTGCAGCTGCCTCCACGAAGTGTTGCCCTTTTGCAGTTGTAATCTGTAGGCGCCTTCCTTCCCTTTGATCCTGCCCTTCATCTACTGTAACCCAACAAAGCTTTGGGCGGGGGAGGATGGGTGGTGTGAGCACTAAGTTAGGAGCTGGTTATTGCTCCTTTCTTGCTCTTTGCCAAACCTCAAACACCTTGCGTTGTGGCTGCCTTGGGGGAGGGGAGAGACTTGTGTGTGTGTCGGTGTGTCGGTGTGAGCGAGTGAGTGAGAGAGAGAGATTGAGATTGAGAGAGAGAGGTATCCATGGCTGGTTTCTCTCTCTCTCTGTGTCTCTCTCTCTCTTTCTCTCTCTCTCTCTCACACACACACACACAAACACGTCCCTAGCCTCTCCATCCTCTCAAGGCAGCTACATCCCTCCACTAACCTACTTTCCAGCTCACTTCTCCACTGCATGTGCAGGGCAAGAAAAGTAGCCTGTGCAATTCAGACCTTCCAACGTCTTGCAAAAAAAAAAAAAAAAAGTCTTGCAAAGTTGGAAGGTTTTTTTTTTACCATAGTCCCACAGACTACTTTTCTTTGCCCTGTACATGGCAGTGAAGAATGGTGCAGGAAAACAGGTGAGTGGAGGGATGTGGTTACCTTGGGTGGGATGGAGGGGCATCTCCCCCTCCTCCCCCACACATACAGAGGAGGGGATTTTGCCTCTTATCCTGTTCTCAGTCTGTGCCGAGCTTCAGAACAGGTGAGAGGCAGAAAAATCCCCCTTCCCGTTTTCAAGCCGTTCGCAAAAATGTTACAATCCTGGAATATGCTGAAGGCTCAGAATGGGGCGTTTTTGCGAACAGCTTGAAAATGGGGAGGGTGAATTTCCCTGCCCCTCACCTTG